CCAAGCTAGCCTCCACATAAGCTACTGTAGACTCCCCAGCAGGCTTCACATATAGAGGTCTGAGGGCCAGATTCTAACAGACTTAGTCAGTGTTTACATTTTCTGAACCAGACAACAAAAAGGCTTGAAGGTCAGAACCAAATCCCCGTGCTCAGCCCTCTTGGGACCTAACTTTGGGTCTCCTCTTCTTTCTTTTGGTCTTGAGGAAATGACATATCGGAGATTGCTTAGAAAAGGGGGGCCAGAGCAGACGGTGAGAAGAGGAATGTGGAAAAACAGCCATTTTGTCAGTTTTGTCCCAAGAAAGGCAAAACTAACAATTTTTAATGGCAATGGCTGAAAAGACTCGATCAAACAGTGCCATCTACAGACCAGATTGCAGATTGCAAAGGATGGAAACTGACAGCTTATTTATGGGGGCTGTATTTCCTCAGGTGTTATAGGTTATCTAGATTAAGGATCCCCGGGAGGCCGGGGGATCTTTCTTTCTTGCTGTGGCACGGCTGCCAAGAGGTCATATTAGCATATGAGAGCAGATACATAAAGGTCTTTCCCAAGACATCCACAGAAAAGCAAAATGCATAGACAACGAAATTAAGAAGAGCTGGAGAAGGCTGGTGACAGATCCTCTGGGCAATGTCTGGAGGGGCTGAAATCCTAGGAGCCCAGGCCTATGGAGTATTCTGCTTGTGCGAGAGTCAGGAAACCATGTTGCAAGGTAGCCAGAACCTATATTCTTGTGTGGCTAGGTTCATCATTTTTTTATATAGCTGGAAGTCTATTTAGAGCTTAGAAGTCTATTATTTGACCTCTCTCCAATGTTGTTTTTTAAAGCTGTCCACACTGAGGTCCAGAAAGGGATGAAAACTTTGAGCTGGAATTCAAAGCCAGATCTAGTAGTGAAAAGGACTTGGGGAAGGCACTAAGCATTTATGTAGCACCTACTATGTGCTGACACAGTACTAAGCACTTGAACAGCTAACATTTATATAGTGCTTACTATGTACTGACATAGTACTTATAGCTAACAGTAGCTACAATGTGCCAGGCACTGTGCCAAGTACTTGATAAATATTGTCTTATTGGAGCCTCACAACAACTCCAGGACATAGGTGCTATTCTGATTCCCATTTTACAGTTGAGGAAACTGAAGCAAACCAGTTAAGTGACTTGCCCAGGGTCACCCAGCCAGTAAATATTGGAGACCCAATTTGAACTCAGGTCTTGCTGACTCCAGGCCCCACACTCTATCCACTGTACCATTTAGCTGCCTAAAACTTGTGGGGGGGTGTTGACAAGATCAATATGAATTAGCAGTGTGATGTGACAGCAACCCAGAAGTTAGTCAGTTATCAAGGTTTTATGAAATGCTGCCTGTGTGAAAGCACCATACTAAGTGCTGGGGATAGAAGGAAAGGCAAAAAAAAAAAAAAGCGCCAATCCCTAGGTTAAGGTTAGAGTTGGGACAGCTGGTTCAGGTGTGAAAGAATTCACTTAGACCTTCTCTGTAACCATTGGGAGTGTTATTACTTGAAGCAGCGTGGGGCTCCCTAGCAAGAAAGCTAGATGTATACCTTGATATTTGGGGGTGTTATGCTTGTGTAGAGATTTCAGAACGATGATATAGTTTTAGAGGTTTATATGGGGGTTAAAGATTAAGGACAGGACCAGAAAGCCTAGCATGAAGGAGACTAAGGGAATTCTTTATGGTTTAAGGATTTAAGGACAGGGCCTGAGGACACAGGTTAAAAATGAAAGGACAGGGAGAACACAGGATAGAGGACACAAAAACATTTCTTTTGGTATAGGTTCAAGATAAGGGGGAAAGGACATTAGGATGCCTTTCAAGTTACAGAATAAGCTACAGGGTTTCACAAAGTACTGGAAAAGCAACCTTAACCTTCTTTTTAACCCTTAGGGCACTATTTGTATCCACATCACCTGCTCTGGAGGAACTCAGATTCTAATAAGGGAAACAGACAGCATGTAAATAACACGGTGCATACACAGTACATACAGAGTAGATGAAAGTTAATCTCAGAGGGAAGAGACTGGGGTGGGTGGGTAGGGACCGGAAAGGAGAGGGGGCCCGGCATTCCTGGCATGGGAAACAATCGTGCAAAGGGATGGAGATGGGAAATGGGGTGTCGTCGTCAATAATAGTCAATAGACATTTATTGAGCACCTACGATGCCCCACACTGTGCTAAGCGATGGGGGTGTAAATATGAGAAAGAAAGAGGATTCCTCCCTCAAGGAGCTTACAGTCTAATGGGGGAAGACAACATACAAAAGGAGGCTAGAAAGGGGAGGGAGAGGTACCCCCACTGGGTGCTTGTTGAATTGAATTGAATTGAAATCCCATAGAGACAGTTCTCTGACATATTCAACAGGTACAAAGATGGAACCAGAAGCAGGCAGTGGTGCTGGCTATGAGCTCAATATGCATCCCTACATAGGGAAAGCCAATGATCCAATGTGGATGTAGTTGTCCTATCCCTTAAACCCCCAAAAGTAGAAAACCTGGGAGTTCTCAGGGATTATAAACATTGTGATATGGCAACTCAAAAAGCTAATGTAATCCTGGGCAGTGCCCAGCACTGGGGAAGTAATAGTCCTGCCATGTTTTGCCAGGGTCAGACCACAGATGGAGTCTTATGTTCAATTTGGGGCACCACATTTTAGAAAGCAAAATTGGCAAGTTGGCACACGTTGTGAAGAAGGTCACCAGGATGGTTAGAAGACTGGGAAGCAATCAATATGAGGAAATGCTGAAGGAACTGGCCTTGTTTAGGAGAAGAGATATATTGTGGGAGATGCCATAGCTGTATTCAAGGCTGCCATGACAAAGAGGGTTGACACTAGTTCTCTTTGGCCCCAGGGGACAGAACTAGAAACAGTGGGTGGCAGCTGCAGAGAGGCTGACTTAAGTTTGCTGTTAACCAAAACTTCCTAACAATTATAGTCCTCCCAAAGTGGAATGGGCTGCTTTGGGAGGCACTGGGCTCCCCTTCACTGGAGGTTGTCACAAAGAGCCTCATTGAGTGTGTGGTAGAAACGATTCTTGTTTGAGGATGGGTTAGACCAGACCAGGGGTTCTTAACCTGGCCTCCAGGGACCCCAGTGAGTCTGGAGAGATTTCAGGGTGTCTGTGAACTTGGAAAAAAATTGCATCTTTATTTTCACTAACTCTTGGCTTCCTTTGTAATCATCTATGTGAGGGGTGGGGAATCTGCAGCCTCGAGGCTCTCTACATAGGCTTCATTGGACTGCCCAAGGGGGTGTCCATGACACTGCAAAGGTCCAGAAGCCTGAAACAGATATAGTCTATTGACTATATTGACTATATTATATTGACCAGAATATATGGCCAATATATATAATATATAGTCTAGTGACTATATCATATTGACTCTAATACTCTCTCACGTCCCTTCTTGCTTCTTGCCACCATCACGGGCAACTTTCCTAACCTGCAATTGATACAGTTAAGAGAATGCTCATGAGATGAGAAGATGATTTTTCCATTTCATTGATTCCTTAAAACAGATTTGTGAAGTACACTACAGGATTTGCAGAAAAATAGTCCTTTCAGTTGAATTGAATTGGTCATGGAAGTTACACAGTGGTTATACAACGGAAATGACTTTTTTCCCCATTCAACTGGCCAGTTTGCCTAAAGATATCTGTAGCTAGCCCAGCGTCTGGCACAGAGGCGCTACTGAAATTCTTTTTTGAACAAATGACTGTTTGCCTAGACTGATTATCTCAGTCAAAAAAGTTAACCTGATAACTGTGCAAACACAGGTGTTTACCTATGTTGTCAACATGGCTATAACCTTTCTTAGCACTATTGAGGTGTATTTGTTTTGGTGTCGAAGATTTGGACTTTTGTTGATTAACAAGAGATTATCGATCTGGCTACCTTTCAGTGATCTTTTCAGTTTTCTTTCTGGGCCAAGACAGTATTAGCAAAATCCTTCCCCCCCACCCCGGCCCTGGTTTCCCTCCCTTAGACACAAGAGAAATAACTTTCTTCGTCTAATTCCAATTGTTTTAGCTCCACCTGGGCCTGGACACTTAAATGCCACATCACCCAAGGTAGGAAAACAGAATCTGGAGGCAAACTGCATTACTCTTCTAACACCCTACCTGAAAGGTACATGTGGCCTGCAAGGTAGAGTACAGTACTCATGGATAATAGATGGGCAAGGAGGAGGACAAGGCTGTTCTTCCAAATAGGCAGTGGGCTTCTGCCTATGTGGTATGACACTACAGATGTTGAAAATGATTCCCGGGGCAGCTAGATGGTACAGTGGATAGAGTACCGGCCCTGGAGTCAGGAGGACCTGAGTTCAAATCTGGCCTCAGACACTTAACACTTATGAGCTGTGTGACCCTGGGTAAGTCACTTAACCCTGATTGCTTAGCAAAGAAAGAAAAGAAAGAAAGAAAGAAAGAAAGAAAGAAAGAAAGAAAGAAAGAAAGAAAGAAAGAAAATGATTGCTCTGACCAAACAAATCTTCCCATGACTAGTTCATACTACTTATCCTAAGCTACAGCATTGGAGAAAACATTATATAGTAGAAAGAACCTTGCAGCCAAAGTTCTGAACCCTGCCTCTGCTTCTTACTAGTTATAATGGCCTGCCTCAGTTTCCTCCTCTGTAAAAGGAGAGAGTTGGAGATGATTTCTCGAGTCCTTTCTCCTATGTCTTTTGATATTATGAATGTCCGTATTAAATTCTAGATGCTGGTTGGGAACAGAGTAATTGCTTAGTCTTCAATACTTACTATGTGCCCAGCACTGTGCTAGGAGCTTTGGAGAATAGCAAAGAAAGCTCTGCCCTAGCATCTGCTTTGAATTAGCACTCTGGGGATCACATGAGGACTTCATCTCCCCTTATTATTTATGTTATATTACTCTGGGCATTGGAAAGGACGGCATGAAAAGGAAGGGGGAAACAAGGTTCCATTTGTCGCATTCAAGAATCACTCATTCTCTCAGAGAAAGCCACGTTTATTTGAACTCCACATACCAATTTCCAAATACCACTTTGTGCTGATTGCATTGCAACATTAAAAACCAGTAAGGATGATTCGCTTTCTGTTATCATTCTGTGGAGATTCTTAAAAGTTTTCTTCACAACCAACAGTAAAAAGCCCATTGAAAGCAACACATTCACAATCTGAAAATGAAATCTAATTTCACAACCTGAAAAGCTGTCAATAAGAGACTTTCTCAATGGTTTAGCCTGAATAATTTTTTGCTAAATGAAAGTTAGATTTTAAAGCGAAAATAGTCACTACCCAACTACACTTTTATGTTTGATTAGACGTACATTCTAAACATTCCTTATTGGAACCTTACAAGACTAAAATTAGCAAAAACAACAACGGCAATGAAAAACAACTTCATATAAACTGACGTATGAAAGAAAACTGTAGGAACAGTCATGCACGTTGAACACTGTGGGGTTTCCAAGTGATCACCAACCTTCTATGAAGCATATCTCCATCTTGAATTCTGATCTTTTTATTTCCTTAGCAAACACACTCAGTTAACGGTTGCTAATCACTGAGTTCCCAGGCATGTTGGAGGAGCCCATTACCCACTCTTTGTTGGTGGCGGGTGGTGGCGCTTTGAAGGGGAAGCCACAGTTTGTATCAATGTGACAAATACTGGATTTTTCTCAATGTGTGAGTCGTGTTTATGAAAAGACCCTAGCCACATCTTGTTGCCAGATTGCATCCGTAACTAAATGAGGAAAGTCCAGTTTGTGAGTCAGTCCTAGCAGATGGTGGGTGAAGAAGGTAACACTGCTGTGTGATCAGCACAACAGCAACATGAGTCAACAGAGGAATTGTTAATACTTCTTTGAGGCCTTGTTGGAATTTAGACAGATTTGAAGGTTCTTACGTTAGAGCTTCAGATGTTCACTCTCATGTTCAATCACAATATTTTAGGTAATCAGAGAAACTTTTTTTTTTGGCAAGGGACAATCCCACAGCATTTGCCAGTTTGGAAAGTTTTTTTTTTTAATTGAAAGCTGTTAATAATACTGTGGGGGTTTGGAAAACATGTTAAATAAAGCCTCCTTTGGGTGTGATTGAAGTTCACAGAAATGGGGCAGGGTCTTAGAGACCATCAAGTCATAGGATCGTAGATTCAGACCTAGGAGGGACTTTAGAGGTCATGGAATCCAACCTCTTCATTTTACAGCTAAGGAAACTGAGGCCCAGATAGATTAAGTGACTTCCCAAGGGCACATAGGTAGTAAGTAGCAGATCCAGGATTTGAACCCCGGTCCTGTGACCCCAAGATCAACACTCCTTTCTCTATTTTGTTTCACATCATAACATGTCCTGCCTTGGCCATTACAAAGTTTCATTAAACATTGAGCATTTTCATTCAAAAGACTGAAACATGGTTTATTGGATGGGGCTTTATATGAATCAACTGTGACAACACTTTTAGGTGGCTGTCATGTGTAATTCCTTCCTGGAAAATAAACTCCAAATTTAGTTTTGAATCGTATACCAAGTCCAATATGATTTGCCCATTTAGTAGCTAGCTCCAAACAAGCACAGCTGCTACTTCAAATGTGTTTGGTTTCTTCCTCTTCTCCTCCTACACTGGTTCATGGGCTGAGAGTTTGGTTTGCTTTTATATGTGCTGGATCTCATTAGGGCAGTTTCACAACCACAACGCAAGCTCCAGCTCTTCCAATGTTAACAGGAACTTCCTGAAGAGAAAGAGAACACATGGATGTCACTAAATGAGATTCTGGGGAATGGGTATTAGTATCTTTTGTGAAATACATTTTAGAATCTGAAACTTAGAGAATGTAAAAGCTAGAAGGGACATCCATGGGTATCTAGCTGAACCGCTGTATATGGTGCTGGAGGAAGTTAAGGGAGGTAATTTGACCCAAATCAACTAACTAGTTAAGGGGAGAGCCAAAACCGAAAACAGCCTTTGACCGTGTAGTATGGTGTTATTTCTGTTATACCTCTTGGAGTCTAAAGCATAATTCTATGATCCTCTGACTGAGAGATGGTCTCTCTTACTATCTGAAGACATCACAGACAAATGTTTAAAGATCATCAGCAAAATGGTTTCTTTATTTGTACCTTTTAATGTATAATGCTCAGAAAGTTCATTCTTGGGTCTCGGCTAAATCTCTCCTGCTGCTCTAATGGTCTTCTTTTTCCCCTTCTGTCATCTGTGCACAGGGCTGCCCCTCAGCCTGAATTTCCATATGGTGATTGGAGGGATACTGAAATACCAAACTAAACTTGTCTTTTCCATCATCTCAAATTCCTCTTGAAGTGGATAACACTTCATGCCAAGGCTCTTTTTCTAGAGGGTTCCTGGTAAAATAAATTTTACCCAGGGTGGGAATCTGTGTACATCATTTAGTCCAGGTTGCTACATTAGTATGAGGGACAGGTTCTTTGTTCCAGCATAGTTGGAATGGAAAGTGTGTGAAGAGGTAATGCTTAAGAAACCTGGCAAAGAAGACTGGATTCTGATTGTGCTAAATATCAGACAAACGAGTTTGTATTTTATCTTGGACGTATTCTGTTGGAGAGCTGCTGAAGCTCCTTGGGCAGGAGAATGACACAGGGAGACTGATGCTGTAGGAAAAACTTATTTCACAACTCTATGGAAGACAGACTGGAGATGGGGAGAGACTGTAGGCAGAGACACCAATTAGGAGGTCACTGTAATAGTCAAGGAAGGAGGGCGGACAGCCTGAACTAGAGTAGTGGCTACATGTGTGTGAGTGGAAAGAATCCCAGTGATAACGTGGGACTGCAACTATTGTGTATGGGGGAGAAGGAGAAGGAAGAGTCAGAAATGAAAAGGTTATGAACTTGGTGACTGGAAGGATGGTGGGGCCCTCGATGGAAATAAGGCAGTTACGATGGGGAGGGCTTGAAAGGATATATGTTGAATTTGGAGTCAGAGGACCTGTGTTCACATCTCAGCCCTGTCACTTACTACCATCAATTTCTTCATCTGAAGGATAAGAGGGTTAGACTAGATGGCTTTTGAGGTTTCTTCTGTCTCATATGCCATCTCCTACAGGAAGCTGTTAGTAATGATAGAGTGGATTCTATCTCTAAATCTGTGATATGAAGCATTCCCCATAACAAATATATACCTGGGGCTGGCTTGCTTTTTAAAAAATGTCAACGTTGCTATCTTTCATTATTCAAAGGGTTATTACATGGACAAGAAATTAGGTTTATTATTTATTTTACTTGATCCAAGTGGGCAGAACTAAGAACAGTGGTGGAGGTCATGGGGAGCAAGTTTTCACCCTAAATAATTAGGGTCATCCCCAAAAAGAATGGACTGCCATGGGACGACATGCATTTCTCATCAATGGAGGTCTTTGAGCAGAAGCCAGAGGCATTTTAGAGAGAGGCTTCATGCTTCAGGTGGATGGTTTCAGAAGGTGCTCTCTCCATGCTAAGATTCTCTGATTCTAACACATATCACAGATCCTAGAATCCTGCCCCCTCTTTGCACCCTGATCAGGAGGTAACAGAATTCCCAAGAGTTTGTTTTTTAATGTAGGGAAAAGTGCTCTGTATATGAGTGTTTCTGTGATCTTACCTCTGTCCATTCATTATTTTGTGCATCATAGGACTCAACTGTGTTCAAATACGAATGTCCATCATATCCTCCCACTGCATACAGGCGATCTCCAAGAGGACAGACCCCGACAGCATCACGAGGGATACTTAAAGGTGCTACTGTTGTCCATGTGTCTGTTTTGGGGTCATACCTAAGAAATTTTAGAAGAAAAATTGTGGAGAGGCAATCCAGTGAGAAGATAGTTCAAAACAACCATCTACACACATAGAAAATATACACATGTATGGACAGATATACAAACACAGATATATATATATACATATATTATTTAAATACACAGGTACATCTCAAAACAAAGACTTGACAGTATATTTCGAAATATTCAATAGCCCTCCACAATAAAGTTAGGACTATTTAACAGGCTGCATGTCTTCATTCCACCACTAGAGGACTCTCCAAGCACATGATAAAGCTAGGAAACATTTGCAAGGTATCAACAATGTCTTTGTTGGGACTCAGAGAGGAAGTCTTACAATTTCTAATCGCATCCCAGAAAGAAAAACACCCCACTGACCATAATTATGCTTTTTGAGCAACTCTGACTTTGTTCTTTTTTCTGATCAAAGTCATATATGAGGTGTCTGTCCCTGCCTGTGTAAGAGCTAAAATTAAAGGTAACGCAGAATGAAATCACAAATTCTTTGGCTTTGGGTAACAGGGCACCTTGCATTTAATACTGTTTGGGGGGGTCGGGGTGGGGCATTGGCCTCGCCCTTAGTTTGTTATTCTCCGCTATATCTTTCTCTCTTTTATCAGAGGCCCTGGGTTTTTTCCCATTTCATTCTGAAGTTAACTCCGTTTTCCTGAACCTTTTCTATCAGTGGGATGGAAGAAAATCCAGTTATCCTCACTCATTGGAAAGCCTGAGGAATTCTTGTCCCAAGGCTTGGTGCATTTTCCTACCTGGTACAGGATAATAAAATCAAAGAGGGAAAACCAATAAAACAATACACTCACCTTAACCCCTGTTATAAGCCCCTCTGATTTTATTTTTGTCTACTAAAAATCAAATGGTAAGTTTATTTTATTAAAGAGAAATAATTTCACGATATTCTACTGTATTTTAAAATTAAAGCTTCTTGTTAAACAACTTTTCTATCACATTCTGCTTTGTTCCATCTGTTTCTATTTGAACATAACTGAAACATGTAATTTCTCTTTAATCTGACCTCAGGAAAATTTATATTCCTTTAATGTGCCTAACATGTTCCAATTTATATCATATTTATCTCCATACATGTATTATTTCTCCCCAAATGCATTAATCGTAAGTTCCTTGAGGGCAGGGACTATACCTACTTCATCTTTGTATTTTCCCCCAAATCCAGCACAATGTAGCACAGAGTAGCTATTTAGCAAATATTTGTGAGTGAATGAATGAATGAGTGAACGAACTTGTCTGTGCACTTAGGAGGAATCTTTTAGATTGTATGGATTCAACTTTACATTAAAAGAAAACTGAAATATTTAATCACTTAACTTTTAGCACCATGTACTTTGTTATATATTATGTGGTGACATTCTTAAATTCTCTGGCTGAATTCTCTATCCACACTGAATCCTCAGTTCAACAAAACTGCTATGATCAGTTGCTGCAAAAATCATCTGTCTATGGGGACAGCCACATGTGTGAATAATAACTCATTTTATATAGATTTGTTTTTCTTAGCAGGTTTGCTCTAAAAGATTCAGAATTTTGCATTTGTGTGGTGACTAATAAAATCTGGCTAATGTTCACATCAACCAGAGGGACTGAGTAATGTCCGGTCTTCCAAAGGTTAAGTGAAGGACAAATTTCAACGACATTGTTACTAGTGAAGACATTCAGGAAAAATCATCAGACCCATCTGCTTAGTAACAGGCTGATTACAAACCTAAAGAAATCCCTTTCCCTTTTGTTTCTCTTTCCTGTTAGATATTAGCTATGGTGCAGCTAAGGATGCTCTCAGGGAAAGCATGGCGGGCCAGAAGTCAAGAGAACCAAGTTTCCATTCTTGTTTTGCCAATTACAGTGTCATTAGGGACATCCATGTAACTTTCTGCACCTCCTTTTTCCCACTGATGTAAATGGAATCCCCCTCATCATCCTCTCTCCTATCTGAACCCAAATCAGTTTTTGGTGGCAGTTGTGAACAACTGGATCTGAGGCTCCTCCACATTTTCCAGGCCAACGAAAGTCTTGGCAAAAGCTGGCCATTTTGTCACAGTCTTTGCAAGGATGTTTGAATATGTTTGGAGTGTAGGTTTAAAGATTTTTTTTGTTGTTGTTAAAGAGTAATCATATAAAAGGGAAGAATGGCGAGTTAGAAAATGGAATGCTGTCAGTCCACGTGACCAAATGAGAAGATAGATGGAAAACAGCCTGAAAACCTGAAAAGTACTGTATAACAGCTAGTTAGTATTAGTAGTATTATTGCTATTGTTATTTACTGTTATTGTTGTTAAGCAAAGTGCAGATGAAACAAGGAAAAGGAGTTCTTATTCATCTTGCTGTATACATTTGCAAGGAAATGTAACTAAAGATATGGACCTTTAGACCTTTATAGAACAGACTGTACCATAAAAAACTCCATGGATACCAAACCAATGATCTGGTCCTTCAAGTCACCTCTGAGAGAGGCAGTGTAGTCCGCGGTAAGCCTGGCACATTGGGAGGCTGAGGCCCTGGGTTCTAATGCTGGCTTGGCTGCTTCCTACTTTTGTGACCTGGAGCAAGTCACTCGCCCTTTCTAGGCCTCTGTTCCCTTGTTAGAAAAGTGAGAGGCTTCCAAGGTTCCATCCAGCTCTCTATGTCAGCCTGAGATGATCTGGTAACCATGGGAGGCATGGCTTGGAACAGGATACGTAGGCCAATGTAGGGGATCAGGGTGGGCATCTGATCAGGGGATTGTACACTGCCTGAAACCCATGTCCCAGGGGGCTGAAGAAACTAAGGCAAATAGTCTGGGGATTTGGAGGTGTGAGGACAAGCCCTGTGGCCCTAATGTCTTTCAGCAGATAACTGTTTAGAGTGAAATTTCCTCAGTCTACACACAAAGGAGAATGCTCAGTTATTTGGACAGTTTACAGTGAAGTTTAGTCACAAAAGTAATGTGTTACCAATCTATTTGGTGCTTTGATGAGGTCAAGTTTACATCGCCCTCACAAAGATGCAAAGCACTGATGGGGCCCTGTTTTCTGGCTATGATCCTCCATAGATCCATGTGTTTGGACAAAAGTCCTCTCAAAGATCCAGAGCAGTAAACAGTGCATTGTCTCGTGGCAAGCTTCTTCACACTTTCCAATTGCAGTTTAATGTCTTTACCATGGAACAAATGTTTTCCACAATGAAGAAATTAATAAAACCACAACACTTACATAATATTTACATAGTTCTTATTATGTGCCAGGCACTGTGCTAAATGTTTTCCAATTATTATCTCATTTGCACCTCACAACCACCCTGGGAGGTAGGGGCTATTATTCTCCCCATTTTACAGATGATGAAACTGAAGCAAACAGGGGTTAAGCCGCTTGCCCAGGGTCACGCAGCTAGTCAGTGTCTGAGGCTGGATTTGAACTCAGGTCTTCCTGATTCCAGGCACGGCGCTCTATCCCACCACAGTACCACCTAACCGCCCCATATATTTGAACATACAATAGGCCACACCAGATCTCCCTAAAATATACTCCAGTGTTCCACTGGATTATGATCTCATTGATTTGGGTACTCTCCCCAACAAGGTAGATATTACCTTATCCCTGCCTGCCTATCCTGTGTAACTTTGTCACAGCAGGTCTCCCCAACATGCTGAGGGTCTTCCTCAAGTTCTCTTGGCGTCACAAAGATCTAGGGGAGTGCCTATACCTCTCTGGCTTTGCCTGGCTCTCACCACATGACCATCCCATCTTCTTTATACGCATACATTTCTTTTATGACATCCTTTATTCTACTTTCTCCTTCATTTGCAAATTGTTCACACTTCCTAAAACACAGGCTCTTAGATTTGGGGCTAGAAGGGACCTCAGAAGTCAGCTTGTGCCTCTACCTCATAAGAGAGATGACAAACATGAAGCCCAGAGAGGCCAGAGCATTTTCCAGGCTATCCAGGTCAGATGGAGCAGAATTAGTATTGGAATCCAGTTGCTTCTGACTCTGACTGTGACACCCTTTCCGTTATACCACACAGCCTCTAGTCCATATACTGACTTTTACTTGCCATTACGCATTAGCTGACTAGGTAGAGATTATCACCGTCTTCTTTCTACATCATTCTGTCTCTGTCTTTTGGTGTATGACTAAACACACTGGGTTTTTTATGATCTAAAATCTAAAAAACCCAGAAAACTCTCCAAAAATTCAAATCAATTGTATTTGTTTTGGAGATAAACTTACTTAGGTCCTACTAGGGAAGTTAGGTGCCTGACTGTTTTCTCAAACTCACGCAGGCCACACTGAACATGTTTCATCTTTAAAGAAATTCTCTTTAATTCTATAAAAAAAGGGAAACTGTTGCACTTGATTATGTTTCAGTATTTCCAGACACGTTGGATTTTCTCACTGTAGCTACTGCTTCACGCATCAGCATGTACTTGTAATGAGGACTGTACTCGCCGTGCACAGAGACTCCCTGATTTCTTCCAGCTGATTCTGTGTGACTCAGCACTCGGGCCCTTAGGGGGAACGGACTTTTTCAACTGTTCAAGGCTAAAAGGCTTTGTTGCTTTACAATGATGCTTTTTTTTTCTGGAAATAGAATGAGAAGGGTTATTTTAGTATATAGCCAATAATCTGTGATTAACTGTCACACTCTCATAAGTACCATATGGAGGAGAGCCCAGGCAAAAATCTGGGCCCCTCTCACTTGTCACGTGACCTTGGATAAGTCTGATTTTACCTCCGTGGGCTTAATTTCTTTTAAATGAAGAGGTTGAACTAGATGCTCTATGGGAATATTTTCCAACCCACACTATACTATAAATTCTCTACTGCCACTCTGCCCTATGTGGAAGGTATTTCCTTGGTGCCTCAGGGCCACTGACCAGGAGTCAGAAGTTAAGGGCAGAATACAGAGAATTTCTAATGGTTTCAGTTTTTGAGAAAGGCCTATGGTAGTAAAATGTGCTGGAGGTTTGTCTTGGGCCATGGACTGGCAATTAGGAAATGGTGATCTAAGGGGCCCCAATCAGCCCTCACACTCCATCACAGTTCTAAGTTGCTGTTCTTTGTTATTGAAATCATACACCTGAGGATTTGAAAGTGTTTATAATTTTGTTTGTTTTCTGGTGGAGCCCTAAACAAGACACAGACAGCTTCTGCTAACCTCTGCTGATGGTCAGGAACAGCAGTGTGCATCATCTCCCTCCAACACTCAGGCCTGCAGGACATTCTCAGAAATCTCTTTGGCCTTTGAGGGTGGACTTTATTTTTGAAGCAGCCAAATGTCATTCTGAGAGCTAATTTTGCTAAATAACGTCAGCGAGTTAATCTCAGGAATGATGACTGTGGTGGGAGGTCTGGGGGTGATGGGGAAGGGGAAGATCACCATGTGACTACAGTGAGGAGACATGTAATATATATGTGTGACTCTGGCTCTGAAGGCAATTCCAGATGTGGTGCTTCAAAATTCATAGCAATGACAACCTCTCTGGGATAAATGTACTTACCCAACCCCTGGCAGGTGGCCACTCTGAAGGAAAAGGCTCATTCAGTGTTCTGCTAGGTTTGTAAAAAGAACAATCTGCACAGTCACAGCTTATTAACTCATAGAGGACAAGGATCCTGTTTCATACCACTTCCCCAACAGTTCCTAGTATAGTACTTAGCATGAGCTAAGTAAAAATTTGTGTAATTAATTTATAAAGAGGGAGGAGATAGAAGGAAGGGCAACAAAGAAAGAAGAAGGAAAGAAGGGAGGTACAGAAAGCAAGGGAGGGAGGAAGAGAAGAAAAGAAAGGGCAAGAAATTGAGGAAGGAATGGCAATAAAGAAAAAGAAAGGGAGAGAAAGAGGGAAGGAGGAAAGACGAATGGAAGGGCAAGGAAGGAAGAGAACGAGGAAGAGGGAAATAAGAAAGCAAGAAAAGGCACCTTTCCACACAGTCAGAAAGCCTGGAGCAGTGGTTGGACGCAGGGGCATCATGTCCTCCAACAGCGTATAACAATCCGTTGTACGTTGCAACACCAACACCACCGCGTCTTTTTGACATTGATGCACATGTACTCCATTTGTTGGTGTGAGGGTCAAAACACTCCATAGACTTTAAACAAGAGCTTCCGTCTCGCCCGCCAACAGCATATAATCTAGAAAAGGAAAGAGAGAGAAAGAAAGACTGTACAAGGTTCTCTATTTCCTAAGTTGAATGAACAAGGAAGGAGCCATGGAAAATTACTGAAATACTATAAATACAGACTCTGCTTAATAGTGGCACTGAGCTTTGAAGGAGACAGGGCAGGTCAGATGCTATGAACTGAGTCATGTAGTCAAGTCCTCTCCCATCCCCCAGCCAGTGCCTGAAATCCCACCATTAGAGTCATGTCTTTTTTGGTTCTTGAAGGACTTAAATTTTCAAGAATTTATTCATTATTTAAATGCCAATACTCTACCTTCTTGCAGATCAGTATTCTGTGGGGGAAAATGCCCAAGGTGGAACTGGGAGAAGCATGTGAAAAGGAGGCCACTAAAGACAAACTTCACCTGCTACACAATTTTGCCTCCTAGCAGGACAGCCCAGCCTGGCAGGACAGCCACTGCTGCTTTGGAGAACTTCCTTCTCTTGCGGATCAGTGGCTGAGAAATATCAAGGCATGCATCTTTTCCTGGACATCATATTAATCTAACACAGAGACAACATGGTAGAGGGACCAGAGCTCTGATCTCGGAGTTCAGATCCTGCCTCACACACTGGGCAAGTCATATACTCATTCATTCATTCATTTGTTCATTCACTCAACAACCATTTTGTTAAGCACCTACTATGTGCCAAGCAGTGTGTTAAGTTCCTTGGACAAAGGGACAAAACCCAAAAGGTCAAGCAGCTTATAGTCTATTGGGAGAAACCTCATGTACACAGACATAGAAATCCAAAATATCTACAAGGAAGGCCAAACTGGAACCACACACAAGCAGCACAGCTTTCAAAGCTAATGGCAATCAGCAGATACTACAGAGTTGCAGTTGTTTTTTTTACAGCAATTGGGGTTAAATGACTTGCCCAGGGTCACACAGCTAGTAAGTGTCAAGTGTTTGGTCTGAGGCTGGATCTGAACTGAGGGCCTCCTAACTTCACTTCACCACCTAGCTGTCCCCAGAGCTGCAGTTTTAAGTACAAGTCTCTTTTGACCTATATATATAAAATAAAATGCCCATTTTATGTAGTATTTGTTAAGTTTGGAATAAAAATAAAATTTACAAATATAAAATAAATACAAAATGACTGGGGAGGAGCAGACCCCAGTAAGTGGAATCATTAGGAGAGGCCTCGTGGAGGGGGGTGGCATGAGGGCTAAGCCTCAAAGGCAGCTGGGGACTCTAAAAGGGGGAGTAAGGGCATTATGGCTAAGGAGCTCAGCCTGTGGAAAGGCATGGAAATGGGACATAGACTGTCGTGAACAGGGAATGGCAAGCAGGCCAGTCTGGATGAAATGCAGAGAACATGAAGGGGTGTATGTGATAGGAAATGTAATAGAATTCTATCTATCTACCCATCGGTCTATCTGTCTATGGCTGGAAAGTTAGGTTAGCATCAGATTGTATAGGGTTTTAAATACCACATAGAAGGGGGAGAAGGGGGGGGAGAGAGAGAGAGAGAGAGAGAGAGAGAGAGAGAGAGAGAGAGAGAGAGAGAGAGAGAGAGAGAGAGAGAGAGAGAGAGAGAGAATGTGTGTGTGTGTTTTCTCCCAAAGGCAATGGAGAGCCACTGAAATTTCTTGAGTAGAGGTGTGACATGGTCAAAGCTGTGCTTATTGGTAATGTCGCTTAGGCAGCTCTGCAGAGGATGAATTGGAAAGGGGAGAGATTTGAGACAGGGCGACTCATTAGCAAGCTAGCCCAATAGTACAAGCAAGAGGCTATAAGGACCTGGGGGGTGGGGCTGTGAATGAGGAGAAGGGGAAACCTTAAAGCACTATATACATGTAAGCTCTCAGTATAACAATATAATGCCAAAATTCTATTACATAATATTATATATTATTAATATGATGATCTATTGTTATTATCATAACATAAGAACATAGGTGAACTTTAAAACTGGCTTTGCCCCTGAAAACTGTATTGACTTGAGCACTTCTTCTGCGACTTTAAAACACCACACAGAGAAGCAAAGGTGGGGTGATGGACATGTCCACCTCAAAGCCTGGAAGATCTGGGTCCAGCCCACAGCTCTGACCCACTGGGTTTGCTAGGGCTGTGTAACCCTGCAACTCTCAGGACTAGCCATTGCAGAGAAAGTGCTGAGCTGCACTGGGGGGAGTCTGGCAGAGGAAATTCCTCACTGGAAGGCCTCTACCAAAGAAATCACAGGTGCAGGGCTAGCCCTGTTCTTCCAAACCTGTCTCCTCCTTCCCCCCGAGAGAAAATAGAACTTCAAATTTGGGTTTCACCCTGGAAAATTTACTGACTTTGGTGATTTTACTATGAACTTTAAAATACCACACTTGATAGACCTGTGAATTTAATTTTAACTTAATCTCACATCGACAAATAGAACAAATGCTTACAAAATCACAAAAGTCTTTAACTGGCCTTCATGCTAAGTTGAGAGCAACTGAAACACAGCAGCCAATGAGTCCGACTTGGTGATCTCAGCATGTTCCTTCCTGGGTAGTAGATGGTGTTACCAACCCCACTGGGTAACCATTTGAAAGAGAACTTTTGACCTGAGCCACTGTAGGGCTGAGACTCTTTCCTCTTGAACACAAAACCCTCATGTTTGTGCTGGGGAAGGCACCAAAAGACAGAGCTTGGCCTAAATGTCATGGTGAGCCTGTACCTCTGCTGTGCCCACCAGCTCCACACCAAAGCCAGATGGGCAGCCATTAACACAGTGTGATTCAAGAAGGGCTGAAATGCAGCAGCCAGCCTGCCCTAGGTACTTAAATGGAAGGGGTGGCTCTAAAAGGTACCGGGTAAAGCGTACATGTTACAGTAGGCCATGAATACCTATGAAACTTTGAGCGTGGGCTTATACCCTGTCAGGGATTATTACTGAGGAGGGATAGGTTTTGATCAGAGGTAGAGGTAAGAGGTCCAGGTAAAGTCAACCAAGGTAGAATGTTAGTGGACACTGTGAGGGGGGAAATTCCAAGAAGAGAGAGGGGTTACTGAAAGGGAAGGTGTTTATGCCAGAGCTAGTAGAACCATGACTAAGAATGCTTTTGACCAGGGCGAGTGGCATGAAGTGCCCTCAGATAAGGGGTGTGTGTGTGTGTGTGTGTGTGTGTGTGTGTGTGTGTGTGTGTGTGTGTGTATAAGGACCTCACTGGTAGCTTCCTATGTTAACTAACAAGTTGCAAAGCCTGGTGCCAAAAGAGGACAAGTATTATCAGCACCTTCTAAATTCTGTGCCCTGGGTCAAAGCCCAGGCCACCCCACCCTATTTATGACTTTAAGAGCTGGTCTGGAGGCCCAGCACTGAGCTTGGCCCAGTGGAAAAACACAGATTGGGAAAGGAATGGGCAGATCATACAGGAGATTTTTATATGGCAAAAATAGGAACTGTTCTATAAATTGTTCAGTCAAACATCTGCTTCAAATAATTGTTCTTTCATAATGGCAATAGGTTCCTAGTCTAATGTCACTTGAAGATAAGCAAGATGGTTCTTTCCTTATGAGTACCTTGTTGGTGGGTACTTTATATAAAGGACACATATACTGCACGACCCAAGAGGCAGTGAGATAGCGTAGAAAGAACACTGGATTCGGATTCAAGAAGGCCTGGCTTCACATCCCAGCTCAGATACTTGCTAGCTTTATGAACTTGGTCACTTAACTTGTCTGAGCCTCATTTTACTCATCTGTGAAATGGGAATGATATTCTCATATATCACACATGATTTTCATGAGGACCAAATTATTATCATTAGGGCTGAAGATAGGGTATTAAAAGAAAATAGTGTATTAACATCATGACCGGTGGTGTTACATAATGGACAAAGCTAGTCTCACACTCAGCCCTGGGTTCATGCCCTGCCTCTATGGTCCTGAGCAAGTTACTTCACCGCTCAATTCCCACAGGCAACTCTCCAAAGACTAAAGTGCAAATTATCTGGTGATCTGCACTGGCAGACAGTTTCATCACAGGAGTCAGAATAAAAATATGTAACAGATAACAAAATATATAAAAACACACATACTGTACCATGTAGTCAACTTCACAAGTGCCATAGGAAAATGCACAATTATAATGCTACAGATTTTAACAATGCAGTGGCAACCTACATCGATGTAATTTCCATCATTTTTCCCATCAATTTTATTAGTACCTTAATAAAAACGTGGGCCTTGCAAAGTTCAGCTTCTTTAAAATTTGGGGGAAAAAAATGAAAGAAAACAAAGATCTTGTTTGAAAGAATAGGTAGCCCACATGCATGTGACCCGGGAAAGGTTTCCTTACTTGCTGTTCAACGCTGCAACGCCCACTGTGCTCCGAGGAGTTGACATGCTAGCAACGTAATTCCACTGCCGTGCTTGAGGGTCCCATCTTTCTACAGTGTTAAGATAACTCCATCCATCATGGCCACCAACAGCATACATTGGTCCTTCGAGCATGGCTACCCCTAAAGGAGAAGAATGGTGTTAAAGTCTTCCCTAGATTCAACATTCCCCATGACTACTGTACTCCTTTTCAAGTAACCACCAGCTTCGGATTTGGTTTTCATTTCTCGGAGAATCTTCTGCTACTGATCTGAAGCTAAAGCTGTTCCTGTAACCCTGTAAAGTCTCCCCAACCTTTAGGTATAATCAGTGTCTCATGGAAGAGCATCATTGTTGAAACTGTGAAGCCAATGAAGGCTGTAGAATTACCTTTTCTGGGAATGTCAATATGTAGAGGACACTTTTTTCCCCTATGACAATGAATTACATGGGAGAAGTGGTATAAAGGATGTCATCAAATCAATGTATAACTGAAAAAGACGGCTGGTCCTGTGGTGAGAGGGAGGGATAAACAGTAGACGTGGGCATCCTTGCAGGGCCAAGAGAATTGAAGGAAACTGCTTCCTCCCCCTACCTGTTGCATGGATCCCTACAGCAAATTTACAGGAGGCTGTGGACAAGACTTGCCCTGGTTGGGCAGGAATGTCTGGACTGTGCTCACTGGAAGGAAGGAATGGCCATGTTTTTTTATAGGTTCAGAGCTTAGATATGGCCTTGTCTATAAGTAGCGTCTGCGTGAACTCATCTATGTTGTAAAGATCCATCTGATATTGGGTCCTAGCAATGGTGGTTCTCCTTCCCTTTGCAGATCTTGAGTGTTAGCAAAAGAAGAAGGTATTGGGTTCATGGAGACACCTCAGGGGACAGTTAATTTTCTAGGCTTTGCTAGGAGATTTCCCACTTAGCTCCTTCTGATGGCCCTCCCTGTACTGCTTCTCTTCACCACTCCGGGAATTAATAGTGTTGGTTTATTTGCTTCCTTCCTCTTTTAAATCTTAGCCAGTTTTGTTGGTAAGTCACTATCACCTCATCTATATCCTCACTGACATTAATTAGGACATTTCTTTCATTCACTCTTGTTTCCCTCTAGCATAAGCTATACCTCCACAGATACAGTGAAATTGAGGTCCGAGTAATTAGTATATTCTACGACTCAGGTAGCCAATTAAGACAATTCAGATCAAATGGAACTGTCTGGTATATAAGGGGATGAGTAGCAGACCCTGAGTCAAGAGATCTGGGTTCTAGTATCAATCTTGCTATTCAGTCTGAGACTATGGATAGGTCACTTAAGATGCCTTGGCCTCACTCCTCTGTAAAATGTGGGATGGGGTCGGTCAGATTACCCTGCCAACAACTGAGAGAGGAAAGCTTCAGCAGGCAGGGACCCTGGGGGAAAGCTCTCAGTAATATGAGACAGCAAGCAAGATCACTGCAAACATGATAGAAGGGCATGGGCATAACACAGACTGGAGGGGAAGCTGGCACACCTGAGATTCTTTCTCCCCCTCTCACCATAAAGGGCAACTTGGGACCAGAAAAGCTGTCTGCAAGAGGTTCACTGCAGCCCCAATTCTAGAATTCTAAAATTTTTCACAACTGCGAGACTTCTCCCCTGAAATTATCGTCTTAGCTCTTTGTTGTTGTTCCTACGTATGGACAAAACCCTGTGATTCTGTGATTTTCTGTCCTGATAAATTAGCTTTTCATTGAGTTCTTCCTCAGGTAATTATTTAGGTTAGAAGTACTTAGACTAAGTAATGACTAACTTCTGTCTTTAATGAATAATTAGATGCTTGATAAGCAAAAATATTTAGTCAGGCAAAGCTGGAATATTTGCATAGGATAAAGGTAAAGTTTCATATATTCTGAAACAGGAAATCAATGATACATTGACTTTTTTTATACTGCAGACAGGGAGCCTCTTTCTGGGGAAGACATGGTAAGGCTAGCATTATGATCACCAGTATCGAGCCCCATGCTAATGATGCCTTAAATAGCCCTCTTCCTAATGAGTAACATTGGTGTTAAAGCCTGAATATAATAGGATTAGCCTATTACTTTTGTTTAAGAAGACATGCTTTGACCTGTGGCATAAATGAATACAGTAAGTGAGGAGAAAACTATCATATAAGGGAGAAAAACAGGAAATTTTGTCAAGTATGGTATTGTGGAAAGATCACTCATTGGAGTTAGAGTAAATGACTTGAGTCTCAGGCCTAACTCTCCTACATGTTGTGTGACTTTAAGCTAGTGCTCGCCCTCTCTACATCTCAGTTTCTCCATCTGTAAAACATGTGAGTTAGACTAGATGATTGTGAAAAGGATTCTATATCTTATGTGAGACTTTGACATCTCTCATTTCTCAATCCTAAACCATATTTTCCATCATATTTTAAATTTTGCCATCCTCTCCCGCACCCAGCTTTGTACTGATGTCACCTTCCTTTGAACGAGATTTCTCTCACAAGGTTCCATTATATAAATGAGCCATTTCTCAAGATGCACTAAATGAGTTGCTTTGCAATGATTATGAAAATAAAGGTTCTGACTGAGCATAACCCGAAGTTTACAAAAGGCTCAGGCTCGCTTATTTGGAGTAAAATGTCACCTTAAGTCTCTGAATGGTTTTACATTTAATGCTTTTCAGTGGTTCTGATGGACACAGGAAGCTCATGGACCCAGAATGGAAAAAGATATCCTGGAAAATATACAGTTAAATGCTTCCTCCACCCCCTCCCAGGCCTAAGGATGTGGGTCCACATCGCAGCAGTCCAGAAATAAGTTTCCCTTCCCAGAAATTCTGGGGAAGCTGAGACAGTTCTTACAATGACTAGGGCTTTTGTCCCATCTAGCCTTATACTGGAATGGACTCAAAACCACCCCATTTATCCCCACCCCACGGGGGGGGGAGTGAGGATAACTCAAAGTTCCTTCCAACTGCAGCAATTTTCCTAAATAAGTTCTGGTCTAATTTTGCATTCTAGCAGCTTTGCTGAAACACAGATTGGGCCCTGTGGGGAAGGGAACAAGGTGACATTTACCTAGAGATAGCTTCCTCCCCACCTACCTTTTTTCCCATGACAGACTTCTGAAATTCATTGATTTTCATTGTTTCAAGTCTGTCAGTATGTCCCTCCTCAAAATTTCCATTGGGAACTGGAACCAATAATGATGATGTTAGCACACAAGGCTAACAACTATGTTCTAGGCAAGCTATGGAATGTTACATCTTGTTTTTGCTGTATATGGTACTTGGTGGGGGGAGAGATATTATTTGACTTGGGTTTTTGAGAAGCAGTGTGACAGTGAGCCAGGCTCAGACTCAAGAAGACCTGGGTTCAAGTCTTATCTCTGACACATACTGGCTGCGTGACTGTGGCTAAATCAAGTCAAGTCAATAAGCATTTATTAAGCACCTACTGTGTGCCAGGTACACTGCTAAGTCACTTGATCTCTAAAACTCTAGGCAACTCTCTGTGTAACTCTCTAGGTTACACAGTAGGTGCAGTTTTACTACATCAGTGGAGACAGTTGTCTCACCAAGAATTCCCTATATTAGTGAAATCCCAGATCTGGCAAAAAAAAAAATAGCCTAAGTTTTCTTGGAGGAAGAAATTAGCTGACCTCTCCATTAAAGTCCTGTTCCAGTAGCTTATCTGTGCATAAGACTGTGCCAATGGAGCACAAGCTCTGTAAGGTCCTAAACAAGTTGGAAAGGCTTCAAGCATAGGCCTGGTGATGGACCATGTGTCCACTGACTGAGGACCAGGTTTGTTAAATTCAGAGGTGTTCAGCACCAGGTGTTGACTTATTTAGGTCAGGCAACTCACAAGGGTATAGAGGAGTTGTGATCTGCACTGGAGAAGAGAATGCTCATATCTAGGAAATGACAGATTCTTAATCTTGGGTTTGTTATTTGACTCACGACCTGTCCAAATTCTTGTAATGACCAGCAGCATCATGGTCAGGCTCTACTATATGCTCATTCCTGTTTTCTGGACAAAATAGACTACATTTAGTGTATTTAACTTACCCAAACCATGTCTATGAGTTGACATGGGAGGCATAATGGACCAGATTTTGGCCACTGGATTAAAACATTCCACGGTGTTCGAAGTTTTTAGACCATCTCTCCCGCCCACAATATAGAGCTTGTTGTCAATGACTGCAACTCCAAACTGCAATCGCCGGCCATTCATGGTACCAACTTGTATCCAACTGTTTGTACGAAGGTCATATTTTTCAATTGTGGTGGTGCCTGTTAAAAGAAGACCCTCATAACTATCACCTGTGCTTTAAGAATGGCATTTGTACATTTTCCTCCCTGATGCTTATGTAGCATACAACTTCTCATATAGTAATAAAAATCTAAGAAACCAAAGCGAATCACTCCACTCTATGGGAGGGTGCCGGGGAAGCTCCAGTCCAGGCAGAATTAGAAATGACGAGTCTGGCAGAATATACCTAACGTCCTGGCAGCAGCTCTGCCACGAGGATTCCTAGCATCCTGACAGATGTGCCTAGTTGGTAGAGCTCTATGGACACTAATAGGATGCCACTGACCAGCTGGCAAAATCATAGTGGCTGAAGCTCTAGGAACAGTCAGAAGGAAGTTTTCTCTTATTTCTAACCACCGGTCAGTGCTTCCTCTGTTCCAGCATGCTCTTGGCAGCTCAGGAATTCTTTGGAATGCTACTTTAAATATTAGCTGTTTCGAGTGTGTCAATATGTCCCAGTAACAGCCACATTGTGTGATGGTCAGCTATGACTGACTTAGCTCTTCTCAGCAATACAATGATCCAAGACAATTCCAAAAGACTCACGATGGAAAATGCTGTCCACACCCAGAGAAAGAACTGATGAACTCTAAATGTGATCGAAGCATACTATTTTCATTTTCTTTTTTTCCTTTTGGTCTGTTACTTCTTTCACAACTATGACTAACATGGAAATATATTTTATGTGATTACACATATACAACCTATATCAAATTATTTACTATTTTAGGAAGAGGGGAGGGAAAGGAGAGAGAAAAATTTGGAACTCACAATTTTGTAAAAATGAATGTTAAATATGACTAATGTGGAAATATGTTTAACATGATTGTACATGTATAACTTATATCAGATTGCTTACTGTTCTGGAGAGGGGTGAGAAAAGGGGGGAGGGAAAAACATTTGGAACTCAAAGTCTTACAAAAATGAATGTTGAAACTATCTTTACGCATAATTGAAAAATACTATTAAATGCAAAAAATTAATGTTAAAAATTGTCTTTACATATAATTGGGAAAAATTAAGTACTATTAAGAAATAGAGGAGTAGATAGGTAGCACAATGGATAGAGCACGGGCCCTGGAGTCAGGAGGACCTGAGTTCAAATCTAGCCTTAGGCACTTGACATTTACTAGCTATGTGACCCTCAGCAAGTCACTTAACCCCAACTGCCTCGCAAAAAAAAATAATAAAACAAAAAAAAAAACACAAAAAAAGAAAAACAAAAAAAAAAAGAAAACAAAAAAAAATACGTCATGTGAGACAAAAAAAAATGTCCTTCCTCAAAGTTTCCATTGGGAAATGAAACCGATAATGATGTTAGGATGCCAGACTAACAACTATGTTCTACTAACAACTATGTTCTAGGCAAACTATGGAATCTTATGTTATCTTCATGTTATGGTGGAAAAGACCCCAAACTTGAAGCAGAAGGCATGAGTTCAAGCCCTTATCTATTGCTTATTAACTGTATAATTGCACCTCTCTAGATCTCTTCATTTTGTAACATGAGGATAATAATCCCTGTATTTCTGGCCTTCTAAGTTTGTTCTGAGTCCATGGAAATGTGAGCTAGGAGTAGTACAGTGGCTGCATGCTTCACTAATCTCCCATAGAACTCTTGTTCTCCTCTTTGCTGAGGGATTCTCTTCTTGGTATGTGGAACCTGGGTGTCTTGTCAGGACAGAAGCAGGAATCTGATTTGGGTCATGGTTGTATGGTCCTAGTAGTATTCTCTGGAGGAGTGGGTTAGCTCCCAGACATCCCAGTGGACAACACTGAGAGGGCCGGTCAGATGGTCAATGGGAGGGACCCTAATGGTAGAACTAACAAGCACAGACTGTCTGTGATGACCACAGGGCTATAGGCTAGTATTGGAGACAACTACTCAAGTCAACAAACATTTATTAGGCACCTACTATGATCCAGGCATTGTGCTAGGCCCTGGGGATACAAAGACAAAAAGGACATTGTCCCTCAAGGAGCTCACATTTTACTGGGGGAAAACAGAGAGAAGTAAATAAGAAATATATACAAAGTCATTCTGGGGAGGCTCAGCATTCCAGGAAATGGAAGCAGAGGAAGGAGAGCACTCCAGGGACGGGAGACAGTTTATGCAAAGACAGAAGCTACATTCAAGGGACAGTGAGTTGGCCAGTTAGGCTGAAACCTAGAGCACGTAGGGGGGAGAGCTGGGGAATTAGTTTGAGAAGATGGACCAGAGAAGCCAGATTGTAAAGGATGTTAAAACCCAAACAGAGGAGTTAGTATTTTATTCTGGAAGCAGTAGGAGGGTCACAGGGCAGTTCTTGCTGCTGAGTCTTACGAGAGGGTTCATTAGTGCCCACTGGTCCTCTGGGAAATGCTTATTCAATCCAAATTTTAAGCCTTAATTAAGGGTTTTTGCCCATACTGAGTCACTGAAAGCCCACTAAGCTAAATCAGTGCCTTGCACACAGTAGGCATCTAATAAGGTTTGTTGAATTGATACTGTACGACCAGAACCTATGGCTAAATATATACCCTTCCATTAACATTTTAATGACCTCTGTCCATTTAGTGCAATGATTTCTGGGCTGCTTTGTGTTTTAAAGACAAATAATTAGTGAGCCGGGACTAAAATTTGAGATCAAAGGGACCTCCAGTGTTGGTCCTCCCCCTGGCCCACGACTATATTGCAAGGGTTATAATTAGGAGGGTAGAGTTCTGAGGCATTTAGTCCTTTATATACTAATAGAGGGCTTCTTTCTTCTCATTTACTGGGCTACAGCCATTGACCGCCATAGAAAATTGGACAGCTCCCTGCTAGGCATTCAGTTGCCCCTGATCTTTTGTTAGTAAAAGCTAATTTAGGCCCTTGTGCCCTAAGATGTGGAATGGGGCTGCCTTGGGAAGGAGTGGGCTCTGTGACCCTGGGAGGTCTTCAGGAGACTTTTTTCATTTCATTTTATTTTTAATTAGCAAACATTTCTTTACTCTCTCTTCCATTTCCCCCAATTTTTGAGTTACATCTTTTTTTTTTCCATGAACAAAAATCTGCTTTCTCTTCCACTCCTCCTCCCATTAAAAAAATACAGAACCCTTGTAACAAATATGCATAATCAAATAAAACCAGTTCCTGAATCGATCACGTCTCCCGGCGTCCATCACCTCTGTCAGGAAGTGGGTAGCATGTTTCATCATTGGTTTTCTGGAATTCTGATTGGTTATTGTGTTGATCTTTTAAAAAGGTGTCTCCCTTTATAGTGTTATCCAGCTCATGCTGAAACAAGAGTCTCTACTTGCTTGGATACCTTCAGTGAAGGAGAAAGCATTCCCTCCCAAAGCAGAGCATTCCAGGTGGCACCTTTAAGGTTTTCCTGACATAAAGTGGAAACTGTCTTCTAAATGACACCCACCCACTCCTCATATGCTAATCTCCCAAACACTTGAAGATAGCCAATGCTGGGCAGGTAAATGCTTAGGGGAAAAAATGTATGCAAGGTGGACTTCTTAGTTTAATCTTCATTATTAGTAGGATTAACAATTGGCAAGGAGCATGCTCTAGCACATTCCTGAAGACAGCTAACATTTCCCCTCCCTGAGTCTAGATGGTACAGGAATTCAAGTCAAGTTCATTGGCCTAGAGTTTGCAGGCTTTGGTCTCTTCTCTTTTTTGAAAATGAGGACATCTGCCCTTCTCCATTCCTGTGCTCAGTAATCTTTCAAAGAACAATGACAGGGACTTCACTATCAGATTCCCTCAGTTCTTTCGGCACCTCCAGATAAGGAGAAAAAATGCTTTGTGTTGAGATGAGCTTTCCTCAACTGCCTCCAGGAAAGTATGCTGTGCTCCTGATGCTATACTTCTCGCCTCAGGCCATGGTCTCATATTCTTTCCATTACCTGCCCTAGCTTCTCTCTGAGTTAGTGCTTTTTTGAGAGGTGGGAACACTGCATATACTGGCTGATATGGTGGTTAGTTAATAACAGCATTTACATAGCACTTTAAGGATTGCAAAGCACTTTACACATGTTATCTCATTTGACCCACATAAGTACCGTGTCAGGTTATTATTATCCTCATTTTATAGATGAAAAACTGAGGCCTAGAGAGGTTAAGTGACTCGTTCAGAGCATGCAGCTAATAAGTATCTGACGCTGGATTTGAACTCTGGTCCTCTTTACTCTGAAGTCCAATGCTTTATTTGGCTAGCTATTTGCATGGGACTGTGTCTTTCCTTTCCTTTTTATTCTTTATTATAAGGGATAGCTGTCTGGATTGGGAGACGGAGAAAGAGATATTGGGAAATGTAGGTGATGTAAAAACAAAAGCTATCAATAAAAATTTTTTAAAATTTAAATATCTAAGTTGGTGGATACATTCCTGTACAACCTCATCAGTGTATTTAGGCAATTCCCCCTCTTCAGCCTCAATAGAACTGGTTCTCTTTGTATCTTTAGAAATTCATTCTTAGGGGCTTCCCATCCCACTTCCCCTATACAGTATAAAGTTGTGTTCTGGGTAGCCTACTGATTCTTTCTCTGAGCTCTCTGAAATTTGCTTCCATGAAACTTAGGGTGCATATGACAGCAGGCCCAGGTTTCTTTTCCTCTCCTATCACATTTTTTAAAAAAAATTATTTATTTTTAACATTTTTTTTAGTTCCAAATTCTCTCCCTTCCTCCAGCCCTTCCTCCGTCCACTGAGAAGGCAAGCAATATGATAGCCATCCCACATATGAAGTCATGCAAAAAACATTTTTCCATATTGGCCATGTTGCAACAAAAGAAAAATAAAGAAAGGAAAAAAAAGCTGCTTCAATCTGCATGCAGAGTTCATCACTTCTCTCTCTCTGGGGGTGGACAGTGTTTTTCATCCTGGGTTCTTTGAAATTATTCTAAAATGGAGTAGTCATGTCCTCCTGAGATCACCAACATTTGCAGCCCGCCACCACCACCACCACCACCACCGAGTCATCCTGAACTGTGAGACTGAGATTCA